AGCTTCTGTAGGGTGGAGTTAGGGTAGGTCAGTCAGCTAGTTGAGTTAGGTAGGCTAGGTAGGTAGCTTCAAGTTAGGGGTGGCTAGGCAGGTCAGCATCAAGTTAGGGTAGGTTAGGCAGGTCAGGCTAGTTGGTTAGGTTAGGTCAGCTTCAAGTTAAGTTAGGGTGGTTAGCCCTAGGTTAAGAGTTAGGTTAGGGTCAGCTTCAAATTAGGGTTGGTTAGGGTAGGTCAGCTTCAAGTTAGGGTTGGTTAGGTTAGGTCAGCTTCAAGTTAGGGTAGGTTAGGTCAGGTCAGGTCAGGTCATCATTGTCACCTCCTGAAACATCTATCTCCTCCCTCCACACAGCTGGTTACTTCAGGATCCACACCAGAGAGTCCGCACCTCCTACCCCGGCTACCTGCAGGCGGCCACTACCTATCTGAAGAAGGTCATGACCCTAGTGACCCCCTTAACCTTTCCTGAGGGCGGCCCTGTAGTGGCTATACAGGTCAGACCAAGTGACTTAGTGGTGATAATGATGGTTTAGTGATGTCAGTAGTGGTGTTAGTGGTGTTAGTCGTCTATTTAACGACTATTTAACTCACTAACAGGTTGAGAACGAGTATGGCGCCTTTGGGTACTCTGACCTCCCGAGGGACACCCAGCACCTGGTCACCATGTATGAGTTGATGAAGTCCCTTGTGCCTACTGACCAGGTCTTGTACTTCACCTCTGACTCGGCCTTGTACTATGGTGACCTTGGTTCTATCCCTGAAGGTAGGTGTGTGTGTGTGTGTGTGTGTGTGTGTGTGTGTGTGTGTGTGTGTGTGTGTGTGTGATAGATAGGTAGAATATATGTGTATATTTTTTCTGTAGCAGGAAAATTTAGTCAAATATCCTGTTTGAGAGATAAGGAGACAGAGACATGGAGAGACACATAGAGACAAAGAGACAGGAAAAAAAAACATAGACAGAGATGGAGAAAGAGACACAGATGAAGGAGAAGAATAGAGAGAAAATATAGACATATTCTCTCTAACTTCACCCAAATAAATCATCTAATTGACCTCTCTCTCTCTCTCTCTCTCTCCACCATACAGTACTTCAGACAGTCAACACACAGCTTGAGGCGGTGAAGGGGCTGAAAGAAATAAGACTACTGCAGCCACATGGTCCCTTGGTCGTTATGGAGTTCTGGACGGGTTGGTTCGACCACTGGCTTGAGCCCTACAGGAATCGATGGCCACTACCAGGTAATCACATGTACCTCATCAAGTAAAAGGTGATAATGGAACGTTCTTTGTTTTATAGATAAGATAATGATGTATTCTTACGATTAATAGTATTATAAGGTTCTCAGAGGTTTTATGTTACTCTGTGTCAGTCATCTTCTCTATCTGGAAATTATGGTCAACCTTTCATTAACAATAAAAATAAAAATCACCTTGATTTTATTTTATATTCCGATACAATTTTGTTTTCTTTATTTTTCATTCGAGTTTACATTAGAATATATATTTATCAGGATGACTCACCCGACGGCCAAACTGCTGTAAAATTCTATAATGTTCTCCTCTCCGTCAGAATTCGTGAGCTCCTATAAGGATCAGCTGAAGGCCGAAGCGTCAGTGAACTTTTACATGTTCCACGGTGGCACTAACTTCGGCTTCATGGCGGGAGCGAGTGTGCAAGACAAGTGGCCTTACTACGCCCCTGATGTGACCAGTTATGGTAGGTGGAGTGTTGATTTATAAAAGGTTATAGGGAGGTAGATCTTATACAATACACATAGATAAACGCGCAATCAATTATTTAGTATAGTTATCCATGCAGTTTTCTATTATGTTATATTAAAGAAAATGGTTTAGGTATAACTAAACTATATTTAATTTGCAGATTATGATTGCCTCCTGAGTGAAAACGGTGATTATACCAAGAAGTACTATGCTGCTAAAGAGTTGATTCATCAGATTTGTACTGATATGGACCTCACCTGTCCTGTACCCCCACAACAAACACCCTCTGCCTTGTATCCAGACTTACAGTTGACGAGAAAAATGACGCTGGATTGCATTCTTCAGCAAGTAAGTTAATTTGCACTGATGTGATTACAATAGCGAATATTTATCACGTATTTATAATATATTTTTTTTTAATGTGCTGATGATCAATATGTAACTTTTGGTCCGTGAATTGGTTTGTCACATCCGAATAGTTTAACACCAAGAGCAATGACACTCCTCCAGGTGGCAGCGATTCAAAGCGAAAACGTGCTGGCGATGGAAGACTTACCATATAACGAAGGCAACGGGCAAAGTTTTGGCTATATTGTCTACCGCACCACCGTCATCGTGCCTGAAGGAGGGGCCACACTTACACTGAAGGGTCACGTGAGGGACCTGGGTCTCCTACTACTCGATGGTCATCTGATCTCCCGCTGCCCCAGGACGCCAGCAGACCTTAACGGCTTCGGTGTCTGGGTGAATAAGTAGGTTGGAGGTTCCGTAGGTGCTGAACC